AGGCAACCGAGGTCGTGACAAAGAACACGGATGCACATATAACTGTCAAGCAGCTAACGCATTTGTTGGAACAACGGATAACAACCTAGTTGAGTGGTTTATGGACTCTGGAGCATCAGAACATATGTGTAAAGACAAGGACATGTTCATTGAATTAACTACAGAAAAGAATAAAACTGTTAAAATAGGCGACGGATCAATGCTGTCGATAAAAGGTATTGGGTGTATTAGGTTAGAAGCTTACAATGGTAACCAGTGGATAGAAACCACTATATCAAATGTTTTGTATGTGCCGGATTTAAAGGTAAACTTATTCTCAGTAAGTAGAGCTGTAGATAAAGGGTACAGTACAATTATTGATAGTAAATTCTGTAAAATAATAGATTCTGAAGGGTCTGTTAAGGCTATTGCTGAGCGAAATGGAAATCTGTTTAAAATGATTTTTCGTTTGTATAACCAACCTCCTTCAAGTAATGTTGTTCTTGATTTGATTGACTGGCATGACAGACTAGCACATCAAAATTTGACACAAATCAAAAATGTACTGTCAGAGCACGGTGTAATTTACAAAAATATTTCAATTGCTGTTTGTGAAAGTTGCTGTGCTGGTAAACAACATAGAGATATCTTTATACGTAGTGAAAATCGTGCAAATTCTCCGTGTGAGTTAGTACATGCCGACCTCTGCGGTCCTATGGAAGTTTCATCTATTGGTGGTTCTAAATATTTTCTTCTGTTCAAAGATGATTACAGTAATTTCAGAAAAGTATATTTCATCAAAAACAAGTACGAAGTTAAAAACTGCATTGACAATTTTATTGCTCTAGTAGAAAAACAGACTGGATACAAATTAAAAATATTAAGGACGGATAACGGAACAGAATTTGTCAACAATGAGGTATGTAAAATGTTGAATAAATATGGAATCGTACATCAAAACTCTATAAGGTACACGCCTCAACAAAACGGTAGGGCTGAACGGGAAATGCGCACAATTGTAGAAGCTGCCAGAACAATGTTGAAAGCAAAGTCAATGACCAAGAGATTTTGGGCAGAAGCTGTGAATACAGCCATTTATGTACTAAATAGAACTGGGCCCATAACCTGAAAGAAAACACTCACGCCCGAGAAGTAATTATTAAATATTTTTTTCAAAATGTGGAACCAATATAAAATGTATAAGATTTTTGAATAAAATATTTAATAATTACTTCTCGGGCGTGAGTGTTTTCTTTACTCCACATACACGCAGGTATTCTCAAATGAGGTTTCATTACCTCTAACAGAAGTTATTGAACGATAACGAACCATTAAAAAAGGATTTCTTTCGCAGTTGTCCAATAATTTTAATAATAATAACGCACACACTCAGCCCCGTACTCGAGAAACCCTGTATCGCTGGTACAGGATCCAGAGCACGTGAAGCTTGACACTAAAGGTTTAAATTTAACTCTATGCCGCTTGCAATAAGAACGGTTCAAAGTGTCAAGCTTGATGTGCTCTTTACTGTACCATGGACACTTGACAACAAAAAATGAGTATAATTTGTGGTTGTTTATGTGTGTGTACATGGCACTTACGACAGAAATAAATGTAGACCCTTAGAGTAATAAAGCATAGAAACCTAGTGAGGCAAATTGAAGCGCTCCCAATGGGCCTACACGAGCGGGCGGGCCGTCAGTGCTCAAGATCAACTTGCACCGCCAACAGATCAAGAATTTTAGCTAAAAATGACGAAATGTGCGGCAAATGAGTGTAAAAATGCGTCAGACAAACATAAAATAGATACTAACATCACATTCCACAAGGAAGTAACGCGTTTCAACTTGTATTTTTATACAAATATTCACTAAAACCGAAAATTAACCTACTACTTAAAACTAGCCTACATGAATTTGATTTTTGCTTCACTTGTGACAGTTCGTTTGATATGAAACTGTCATTCTATGCGTTATTATTCTTAGTGTAGACCATACAAATATTTCTCTCGACCCGGGACCTCAGTCGCAGACCAGCATGGTAACTGTTCGGCTACCGATGCAGTTGATTTTAGATCTCGTTTTTCTCTTAACTTGCTTTTAGCTATACAATTTTATTTTATAATTCACGCTAAATATAAACTTAAAAGATTTCTATGTTCGAATTATATTATTCCAATATTTTTCAATTTTTTTAGAATTTTCGGGAAAATTTATATTTGAAAATTTTTACGAAAATTACCCAATAGTACTTTAATGATTCTTTTCTTCCGTCCGCTGCAATGTTTGAGCATCCGTGAGCTTTCTTGCGACTGCGCCTTGATTATAGTATTTCGTCGACGTTTGACGTCATTGCCTGATTTCGCGCTACTTCCCGCGGATTCGGTAGGAGTCGCCGACGGCAGCTGCTCGCGCATTCGCTAGAATTCCGCGGGAAACGCGCGACTTGATTTTTGGGTCGTATCTAGTTTGTACGTTACACAATTCATTACGCTATGTACAATATCGTTACAAAAATTCGCTTCCATTCCGTTCCACCGCAACATAAATAAAAAAAAAGTCAATTATATTCTTAAAGGTCTTTAGAATAGATTTGGATAAGTCGTAATTGACGAAAATCTTTGAATGCACAAAATTGACGCTTCTCGGAATTGGGACTTTACCCGGAATTTACTCCACATGGATATGATACCGAGCAAAGACGAGGCTAGTACAGTCAAGAGCACGACAAGCTTGACCCTTTGTACTTTCAACCGTTCTTATCGTAAGCGGCATAGAATTGGATGGAGTGCGTCAAGCTTGACACCTTAAGTGCTCTTGACCCTGTAATACTTACAAATTTTCTTAAATCGTAAAACTAGCAAAAGAAAAATCTCCAAGACTTGGCTTTTTTACAATTAAGGCGGGGTGTTTCAACGCGAGCCTAGATTTTATGAGATGAGATGTGTGGGGTCGCTCTTCGCGTCCCGGAATTCATGTGCTGTAAATTAATATGAATAAATTAAGAACAGGCGAAGAAAATTTGTTACAGTTCCGACGTCAATAGCGACTAACGGGACAACGGGCGGCACGCAGTGTCGTTTTGGGATAAAATTTTAATTTAATAACTAACAACTTGTTAGTCTTCAATTGAAAGCAAAATTTAGCAGGTTCTCTGTAGTGACTAAAGAGAAATAAGAAATATATTCACATAAAAATTATGTGTACAAGTTACATGTTTTATACTTAAATAATTTATTTTAGACTTTTATTTTCGTCTGTTTTCTGGATTTTATATGATCAGATAAAATATATTTATAGTGTAACATATTAGCACATTCTTTAGACATCCTTAGGTGCATTTTATATTTTTCGTAATACCGTTATTTAATAGTAAATAAACTAGCAGTTTTTCCGATTCTCCTTGCCTCGCTTTGATTGAAAAATACCGCAACCATCGCTTGTGAGAAAGAAGCTGGACTTTGATTTACAGGAACTGAGCCTGATATAAATCCTGTATATGTCATCTACAACAACTAAATTTTAGTAAAATTAGACAATAATACCAAATCTATTTAAATTTAATATGCCTTGCTTTATTGTTTTTCTATTTACATAAAATGCCCAACAGCATGCTAGCCCCAGATCCGGCCCTGGACCGCGTTTCCCGTTGTATCACATCTGTGTGGCGTGACTTCAAAGTGATCTTACGCGATATAAGATCTTACTATGTTTTAACACGTTAGGCATGAAAATAAAAAACAAATATTTTGCTGTAATTTTTTTTATGTAAGTACCTACTTATGTAAGTAGTTTATGTAAGTAAAAAGAAAGTAAATCCTTCTGGTTTATTATTGCTTAATAAACTAATTTTATATTGAATCAAGTTATTAATTACTGACTTACCTTGAATAAAAAAAACAATCCGGGATAACATAAAATATCGTAACAGATTCTTATAAAAGGTTTCCTAACGTTTTACTTTGATATTGGCACAAAGTACTCAAGTTCCATTTAATATATATAAGAAACGTTTTCGTGCCCTGACTATTAGAGCTCCTGTACAACATCTTGTAACTTTGAAATGGCGGACCGGTTTTTTAGTTTTTTTCCACTTGAACCGACTAATTCATGCTTATTACCTGACTAGTCAAAATTTAAAACTCGATTACGGTCACGCTGGAATAAGGTACGCCTTAATGAGTGAATTAATCTAAATTAAATTAAACTAAATGTGGGAATCTGAAATCTGTATTCCGCAAGTTGTCAGCGATCCAGCGGTCAGCCTGCGCCGTCATCTCTTCGTCGAAATAGTCGCGCCATCCACCTGCTTTACCTGAAAAGCAAAATTTGACTAAGTTTTTTTATAGTGGTGTGTGACGAGACAAACAAGTCGTGCGCCTGGTGGTAAACGACATGCCTATCCATAACTGCAGCAGTGCCACTCAGAGCTTTAAATAGCAAAGATCTTAGAAGCGCTGCCAGTGCGCCTGTCACCTTGAAGCACATGTTGAAAAGTCCCATGTGTCTATAATTTCACTAGCGCCCTTTACCCGTCCAAACCGGAACACAGTAATGCTCACGTTACGGCTTAGCGGCAGAAATAGGTAGGGTTGAAATACTTCCCTGGACGAGCTCTTTCACAAGGAACTCTACTATAACTAAAAAGTATTCTTACAGATCGGCTCTTAGAATTAACTCCAGCCGTTTGACGGCCGAACAGACATGGATAAAAAAGGACGAATGCAGTTGTTTCTATAGTTGGAAAAATCGCAGTCGTTTTAAAAAGCAACCAAAAAATAATGAAATCTATACTTTGTTCTAAAATGACTTCCATAGATCTGCGACATAATGGGCCTTATTATGTTGTTATTTGCGATGCTTTCCATAGCTAAACCTCACCTTTCCTAATAAACCCTTGCTCCCCAGGTATCAGAATGCCAAGCTCCTTCATGACGTCGTAGTTGACGGATTTATTTTTCTTGAAATTGTCGATGCTGAGATGATCACGCAGTTTGGCTATTTCATCTTCGGAGAAATCCTTGCCTAGGAACGCTGCTACGCGACGAATTGCCGCTGGAAGATCCTGGAAAGAAAAAAGAGGACCACATGGAAAAAATATATGTAATTTTGAGAAGTAGAGTGCAGTTTGGGGTTGTAGCGTGAGTTACGGTTAAGTAAAGTCCGGCCAACGCGATGACGAATGGAGATAGAAATAATGTAGCCTTAACGAGGGATAGGCGATGAAGAGGAAAGATTTAAAACTGTTTTAAGTCGGTATACGTACCTTACATAATTCCTCGTAGAACAAGAAAAGCAGCCGCGGATGATTTCGCTTTTCCCAAGCTTCTTTCAAGTGTTCGAAATACGGTGTCCAGTGATCTAAAACAAAACAAATGTGTGAATCATCGCCGACATACTCAACAGTTGAGATTGTTTATACAGAAAATAGAAAAAAGGATAGGTAAAAGTTGTCTTCGTTTGTAAATGCCAACGTGCATGAACTTACGTAAATCTCTAATGAAGTAGTTCCAATACGTTTTGAAGTCGCCAACATATCCTTGCGTTCTTATTAGTCTATTCAAATGATAAAAGGATACAACAACATCTCTAGGGTCTCGAGCTACGTAGACTACTCTGGAAGTTTCTAGCACCTTGGGTGGCAACAAGGACATTGGCAAATGCGTTTTTATGAACCGCTGTGACCGTATCCTTGCCAGTTGTTGAGTACCCGGTCCCGTAACTAGTTCGAGAAGTTTTAATTTGTGCTCGCTGTGTTTGTTTTCCTCTATAAACCTTTGTTTCATAAGTGGATGGACGTATACTGAGAACCTGAAGGAAAAAAATGTATTTTTATTATTCATATTTCGTCCCCTTGGTATATAAGAAAGCGGGGGCGACGTAGTGGTCACTCTACGGGATCCCACGGCGCCCATAACACCAAGAGGGTAAGCCGTGGCGGTTTTAGTGGGTATACCCAAGGGATGTACGATTCTTTTGCTTCGAATCGATTTTTTGGATCACAATGGGTCATAGGCCTCTAAATTGATCCTCAGATTGATTCATATGCTCTTGAATCGATGTCATAAAAATCGTTTCAAAATTAATTTTGATAAAAAAATTCTGGGTTGATGGGGTGGGTAAGGGGTGGGTTAGTGGGGTAGGTGTGAGTTAGGAGGTGGTTTAAGGGGTGAGATAGGGGGTAGGTTCAGGGGGTGGGTTCGGTTACGCCTTCAACACACTGCCCTGGTCCACCATACTAGAGGCGCTGAAGTTCTATTGCGTGCCCGAGTGTCTACGGCAGATGGTAGAGTCCTACCTCTCCGATAGAGCCGTAATATATCCAAGCCGCGATGGGGTGGGTTGAAGGAGCGGGTCGTGCGGTGTGCCACAGCGGTCAGTCCTCGGACCGCTCCTGTGGAATATCGGGTACGACTGGGTGCTGCGTGGGGAGTGCATGGATGGAGTCGATGTTGTATGTTACGCCGACGACACCCTGGTTACGGCCCGAGGCAGCACGCACCGGGAGGCTATAGTGTTAGCCACGGCTGCGGTTGCCCATACCGTGACCAAGATTCGGCGTTTGGGCCTAGAGGTAGCACTGGAGAAGTCTGAGGCTGTGTGCTTCCATGGGCCTCGGAACGCGCCGCGCGCGGGCACGACATTGGTGGTGGGGGGAGCCTCCATTGCTGTTAAGAGTACCATGAAGTACCTCGGAATGATCCCTGACAGTCGATGGAGGTTCGAAGAGCATTTCTGCCTCCTAGTTCCAAAGCTGGCGGGTACAGCTTCCGCCATGAGTCGGCTTTTGCCGAATGTGGGGGAGCCGAGTGCCAACTGTCGACGCCTGTATACGGGGGTGGTGCATTCGATGGACACAAAGAGAGAAGCTGGAGGAGCCGAGATCTGGCCACTGGACTATCGGAGCGATTCGACCAGTCCTGGCAGAATGGGTGGATCGATCCTGGGGAGGTATCTCCTACCACCTTGCAGCAGGTTCTGACGGGCCACGGTTGCTTCGGCAAATACCTGTGCAGGGTGGGACGAGAACCGACGACCGTATGCCATCAGTGTGGCTGCACCGAGGACACGGCCCAGCACACACTGCAGGCATGTCCGGCGTTCGACGAGCAGCGGTCAACCCTGACCGCAGTGGTGGAGCACGACCTATCCCTGTCGACCTTGGTGCGAGCCATGGTCGGCAGCGAGAGGGCGTGGAGTGCGGTGGCCTCCTTCTGCACTGATGTATTGTCGCGGAAAGAGGCGGCGGAGCGGGATCGAGAGGAAGACCCTTCCTCTCATCTTATGCGCCGCAAACGGTTAGGGCGCAGGCGGCTGGCCTATGCCCGCCAACTGCCGCCCTGACAGTGAACCCTGGGTGGCAAAACGGGGGCTTTGTCACTCACTGGGCAAGGGTTCACGGGTTGGTTGGCATGCCAAGTATTCCCGACATGCCACTGACGACGGAGTGGAGACGGTAAAGTCTCCCAGAGGTGGGTCCGCAGTCGCGGACAACCGCAGGCGGGGCCGTGAGTCGTAAACCACGTGGCCACAGCCCCGTCCCATGCGGAGTGTGGGAATACCCGGGGGTTTTTAGTGAGTAGGAGTCTCACATAACGGTGGTATCCATGACGGATTCTCCCCCGGAAAAAAAGGGGGTGGGTTCGGGGTGGATTAGGGGGTGGGTCAGCGTGTTAAAGTTAGGTAGTTAGGTGGGAAAGTTATCGACTAATTTGGTTCCAAAAATGTTTAAACCTTCCTGAAAAGTTGTCACTATCTAGTTTTTTATTTATTTATTTTTATAATAATAGAAGGTGACAGGACGAACAGTTTTTTTTTCTCTAAAACGATGGCTTTCTTGAGCAGTGCCAAATTCTAATTCTCTACCATATTTCGTAATGATTTTCTATGTATAAACAAAATTTAACATTAATAATCTCAGTACAGAGCACTAAAAAAAACCGACCTCAAAGGTCATTCATCACCTTAGTTTGCCACTCTTAGAGGTGGAATATTTTCATCAAATTTAAATGGGACCACTTCTGAGGTATCCTCTTTTCAACTAAAAAAGAATCATCAAAATCAGTTCACAAGTCGTGTAACATACAAAAAAAAACATACAGTCGTATTGAAAACCTTCTCCTTTTATAAACTCGGTTAAAAATAATATTTTCAGTAGGTAAATTTAGCAAATAAATTTAAAATACAAAATTAGCTAATGGCTTTATTAGCTTGTTAGAGCTTAAATATTACATTAGTAAAAGTAGGTATTAGTAGTTAGTTGGTGGTTAGTAAAGTTGTATATGTAATACACCCGGAGAACTTACTCTAAAAAAGGATATCTCTCCGTTAGTGGAATCGCGTCTGATTTCTCATAATCCAAGTCGTTTGCTACCATCCAAACTAATTCTTGTGTCCATGTTGTGCCTGTAAATACATATAACTAGGTGTAAACAATAATAATGGGCCAGACGAAGTTAGTAGTAGAGCTCCTTGTGAAAGAGTTCGTCCATGAACTGCCACCTTAGCTTTTTCTGCCGCCATGTAGTAATGGGAGCATTACTATGTTCGGTTTTGAAGGGTAAGGGTGAAATTAATAATACTAATAATAATGCACACACACTCATAGCCCCGCATTAGGAAGACCCTGTATCGCGGTGCCATGGACACACGCATAGACGACCACAAATTGCACCCAAACTCGCGAGAGAACTAAATATAGGCCATACAAATATTTCCCCCGGCACGGGAATCGAACCTTTCGGTAAAAAAAATCGGCACCTCTTGCGTGGCAGTTCAGCATGTTAACTGTTCGGCCACGGAGACAGTTAAATTAATTACAAGCGCATGGGACTTGTCAACTTAATGTCTCAGGTTGACGGGCGCAGTGGCAGTACCCCTCAGATCTTTGTAATTTCTTGAGTGGCACTGCAACTGTTATGTTCAGGCGTGTCGCTTACCACCAGTATTACGACTTTTTCGTCCCGTCTCTTGATATCATAAACAAGAAGACAACCATATCAATTACCTGGTTTCAAACCAGAGAATTTCCTAATAAGTACCAGAGCAACCAAAACACAGACTGGAATTAAAATGTAGAAAAGTTTTTTTTTCAAATTTGTCCTCAACCACTAAGGTCGTAATAGGAATATAAGTACAATCAATATATTATTTCAATACTATACTAATAATGGTTATACCATTCATTATACATTATGCGACTTAGCATGATCATATTCTGATCTTTAGATCATAGTCATTCAATAATACACGCGCCAATAACACAATTACAATCTAATTGAGAAAACAGCACCATGATATTTATCAATAACTGTATTATATGGACTTTGAATCATGATCGTAGGTGGCAGTGTTGAATCTTAAACATGAGTCATGCCGTTGTTCGGGTTATAATATCGACAGCGGAAATTTGAAATGTCTTATGAGACATTTTGTCGTAAAGTCATTTTCCCTTACGAAATTTCAAATTTCCACCATCCATATAGGTTGTTCAAAAAAGTAACTATGAAATTTCATTCGGGCTCAATCATGATACTGAACAATTTTCCTTGAAATCCACGTCAAATTAACGCCATTCATTTTTATTTTCATACAAATAATCCAGCCAGTTAATGGAGTTTTGTGTGGAAAGAAAATATATGGGTTTTTAGTGATAGTTCAGTATCATGAGTAGTGTTATAGAGTTGTCCCACTAACGGAAAGTACTTTAAATGTTGTAGATAGGTACGTTTGTGTTTTGCATAAATTGAACGGTGTTTCTTTAATATTATGTAGCTTAATAAGTTATAAGGAATTAATCTTTATAATTCACCCTTTCGGTCGGCATCATAAAAACACGAGATTTTTTTTCACTTTTGGTCGTTTGATACCCAGATGAGGCTAGCAACTTTTTAAAGGTCTATGACTATCACTTACTTTACTTTTAAAAATAAAATAATGTCTCCATGAAGCAAAATATTCTACTAATATTAAAGTACTTTCTCCTTCGTGTCCCACGGCTACGGGACACCTGTATAGTTAGGACTACTTAGATTAGATACAGGTATGTCTCCTGGATCTTACGTGGTATCAGGCCGGACCCTCACCTGATCTTGGGTAACTGGCGACAAAAATGTCGTTAGATCTTAAAGGCATGTTGTAGATATTGGAAGCCTCCTGTCGAAACTTGTGGGGTAGGAAGTACTTCTTCGGTCCCACCTGGACGAAACCGGTGAGTTCGCCTGTAATTAAACATTGAATTTAAAAAAAACTTCGAATTGGTGACGTGAATATGAGTGACCTTGATGCCAGCGTTGTAATTTATTTTTGTAAGAAGATTCACAAGTAAAATTAATAATTATATATAATTAAATTAATACCCATTAGTGTTGGGAGGTTACGGACCTATAACCTTGCAAGGTATAACATACTAAGAAACATATTGATTCCCTTTTAAAAACTACCTCATCAAACTCAATTACGTCTTCTAGTTTCTGAATGTTTGTGAGTTTCCCGTTATTTATACGGAAATTTTAAAATATGAAGAGACTGTAAGTTGAAACCTTTGCCTATCAAATAAATGGGGGTTCACACGAAATTTAAAAAGCACAGATCTGTTTTTAGTCAATAAATTATTATGTTCAAAAAGGATTCGCTCTGGACCTTTTGGAGGGAAAAGTTTCGTTTTTATTTTGATTTTCAATTATTTTGTGAAATCTAGTTTAAAGTGGAATAGGATAGTGCTATTGTGCCTTAATTGAAGATTAAAACGCGAAATTATACGAATCTCGAACTAGAATACCCGTAACGGCCCGTTGTAAGGAATCCCGAGTCAATCCAAGCACGCCGCCTCATATTGCCTATCCTCTTAGTGGCGGCCATATTTACAGAAACATAATTAAACTTCATGTTTAGGCTGATGGCTTTGCCAAAGCCTTAATAAATAATAATAATAATTATGTTCAAAAATCCTATTATTATCATTATACATTGTTTATTATTGACTAAAAAGATATTTTTTTTATAAAATCAAGTGACAGTACGAATGAGTCGTGCGCCTGGTGGTAAGCGACATGCCTGTTCATAACTGTTGCAGCTTTGTTGCAGTGCAACTCACAGCTTTAAGTTACAAAGGTCTGAGGGGCACTGCCACTGCACCCGTCACCCTGAGACATACATAAGTTGTTATGTCTCATGTTCCTGTAATTGCACCAGGACCCTTACCCTTCGAAACCGAAACGCAGTAATGCTCACATTACTGCGTGGCGGCGGAAATAGGTAACGTGGCAGTACTTCCCTGGACGAACTCTTTCACTAGGAGATCTGCTGCTATTAAAATTGATTGATAGATTGACTTATATATAACATTTTATAGACTAATATTTAAAATATTTTATGGAATAATAATATTTTTAAGACTATTTCTCTGGAGGATTGTTTTAAAATTAAATCAAATTTTTTGTAAAGCTCGCGTTAATTAATTTATTTTCTTGTAAAGTATAACAAGAAAAGTGAATAATAGACTGCTTTTGAAAGTTTAGTAACGTCTTACTGAAGGCCCTATTCTATATATTATATATAGTCGATTCGTCGTCGAAACGAATGCCGTGAAGACAAACCGTCTTTTGCGAGCGAGCCGCCTAAAGGCCGCCACCTACACATCATCGTCACGATTTGTACGGACATATCCGCCTTTTTCATCTTTTATCCGAATTTGTTATTTATGTGAATTTTTCAGCTTAGGGCAACAATTTTCAAAATAAAAAGTAAAATATCCACCTCGCAATTCTGTAGTAAAACTTGCCAATCGGGCTTTGTGTCCGGATTCTTCAAATTTCGGAATGGTAACTTTACCGACAGACGATTTCGCATTTCGATCGATTATCACGTTATTCGTATCAATGTACTCCCCTGGCATCCAAATTAATCATTAACAACATGAACATACATTATCGATTCGTCGTTTCGATCTATCTGAAACGGCGGATCGTGAAGACAAATCGTCTCATATATGGGGGCCCTTAGTTAGAATGTGTCAGGAGAGAGGCTATATTATTAAATATAAATCTCGACCGACTGACTTGGGGACATACATTTATTTTACGAGTTATAATTGTACGTTACCCTCTCCTTGAACCAATAGTTATACTAAAAATCTTAAGAATTCAATATTGATTGTAATATCAGAAAGACCTTTGTAATATTGAAAGTGAAAGACACAAATCAGGTTTGGAGACCTTGAAGGTAGATTTCTATTCAATTCGCAAAAGGGAAACGGTTTGCTTTGTTACATAATCTTATCAATTTAGTTAAACGTATTTTTTGCCTGTTATTGGCGTGTTCCCGATTTATTTCCCAAATTGGTTGACAGACGCATAGCGTGCTCTATAGAATCTTGAACGTGCTTTTGATTGCAGAAAACACGTGATTGTTGATGGTTTTATACTCGATGGTCACAGTGACATAAAAAGTACAAGTACTTATAGTTTTCATGTAGATATAAATATCTGCGGAAGTTGTTATACTTACTCATAACTACATATATACACATAGACGTACTGTGTGTGCGCTCTAAAGCAGTGATTATGTACGCTATTTACAAAGTAATCGAAAATCATCGACGTCAACCTACTTTAATACGCAAGTTACCTACAGAGACTTGCATACATTAAACCAGTAGGTCCACACATAAACGGATTGTATTATTATTACGAATATAGTAGTCAAACGATTAAGCAGTGACTGTAGTTCAAAAGTAGGGACTGCTTCGGTTATTAACTATATTTATTCGGTTAACTTCGGTTATTAATGAGGGACGATACTGACCGTCTTCAATCGTCATCCCATCTTTTATTCATTCTCTTTTATGGTACCTGGTAATTATTTTTTGAAATTTTGAATCGTTTTCGAATTTCTTTTCCTTCACTATTCTTCCATCCTCTGAGCTATTCTTACGTTTGGTCTATCCAACGAGTATTTTAACCAGAAACAGAGACGAAATAAGGGCCATCCATCCATGACAACTCATCAGGTAAATGGGCTTTATATCACTTTTAAATATCAACTCTCGTTTGCGCTGAAATCACAACCGTATATTCCAAAAATATTCTGTATTTATTGTTTAAAAATATTCCGTATGAAGATAATATCTCTAACAATGGAGGCTTTTCTCATTCGGTGGTGTGGGAAAAACACCTTGTAACAAAACAAACGGAATCAGATTTCATCGGTAATTAAATATGTAATTTTGAAATTTTCGTCCATCATAGCAAAGCTCAAGTTAGGGAAATGCTACACGGGCGTTGCGTCGTCACAACTGTGTTGATTTCAACGGATTGAGTGCCACACAAGCTGTTCTGTCGACGCGCGCTGTTTCAACGCACCATGTGGCATTTCGTGCTGACTTATATGTATTACAACGCAGTTGCGACGACGCAACATCGAGGTAATGCTCGTGTGGCATGGCATCTTTCTAAAGCTGGTCGATATGAAGTGAAACAATTGACTACACCCGTAAATTGTTTCGAATTCGGGCTGGTCAATCGGAGCGCAGTTTTCACAGTAATGATTTGGCTGAATAGTTTTCAAACAAATTAAATGACATTTCGTCTGTAATTCTGGTTATATATTCGATAGTTCTATCCGTCGTCACTATCATCAAAATTCTGGAAATGGGAGGACGTGCGATAAATCACAAATCATGTTCAAATTGTTAAACTTCACGTCGATTACTATTAAAATTATACAGGCCCTTTTGAGATGTTTCTTTTATTCTTTTAACATCCCTCACAATAAATCTTATGGACCGAACCTTCGGTATTTTTTATTCGCTAAGGCTAGGCTGCAAAAGTTACATAAATACCGCTCACACGCCACATTGTCTGTTATTTATATCCAATACAAATTCACATGCGGCGTCATTTATTACTCTAGCAAAAGCAGCGATGCAAACGCGATGCAAATGCAATGCAGTGGCGATGCTGTCGCTAATCGTCTAACACACGCCCGCAATTTAAAGTAGCGATGCAAACGCGATGGAAGCGCACGACTGCATCGATACAAACGAGAGATTGCTACACTTGTGATCTAAAGGCGATTGCATCGATGCAATCGCGCGTGGGATGCAATCGCCTATAAATCGCAAGTGTAGCGATGCAATTGCGCGTTTCACGAATACGCGTTTGCATCGCCGTGTGTATACTGCCTTTTACAGACACATTTTACACGTGTATAAAAAAATATAATAATTTTTATATACAATTTGCAAATTTTCGAGTAAGCTCAATTTTACGATGGTACACCTTTTAAAATATAGTTTAAATATTTCTTTATCGAAGCAAATTTTTGGTTACATATTTATTTATATACAGGTTATATTCACGCAGAAATACATTTTTTTGGGACGAACACACCTATCCATAACAGTTGCAGTGCCACTCAGAACTTTAAATCACAAAGATCTGAGGGGCACTGCCACAGCGCCCGATACCCTGAGACATAAGTTGACAAGTCTCATGTGCCTGTAATTTTACCAGCACCCTGACCCCTCGAAACCGGTACGCAGTAATGCTCACATTACTGCTTAACGGCGGAAATAAGGAAGATGGCAGTACTTCCCTAGACGAACTCTTTCACAAGGAACTGTACTACTACCTACTTATGGACTACATACTCACATCTTAATATAATAAAAACACTATTTATTTATTTATTTACACTTATGGACTGTATATGTATATTTGTAATACTCTTAAAATTTGTACAAATTGTATGAACTTGTGTCTATAATGAATCAAAAATCTATCAGCAGATAATCAGTACAGAGTATTAAAAAGATCGACCTGAAAAGTACGTGGAATTACGTCTATTTGCTAAGTTTTATTGAAATATCCTTAAGTTCGCCACTTTATAGGACTTGACACTGGAGATAATAAAAATCGGTTCTCACTACTCAAAGTATATTGAGAGAAAAACGCCTTGAATTGGAGAAATAGCAAAATCAACCATTAAAATAATTGCTCCTTAAGTAAAATTTAGGCGATATTTATAAAAATGAATCTTCATGCGTCAACAGCCACCTTTAGAGGTGGATGATTTTCTTCAAAATAAAATGGGACCACTATGGAAGTACCCCCTTTCCAACAAAAAAGAATCATGAAAATCGGTTCACAAATACCGGAGTTATCGCGTAACATACACACAAAAAGAATTGTGGAATTGAGATCCTCCTCCTTTTTGAAGTCGGTTAAAAATAGGCTAACGACCTTAACAATATGACAGTCAGTTCATTCACATTACGCACTTTGTAAACATATTTACTTCAACATGGAATTACTTAGATAAACAAAACAATCTGTAAATATGAGGTTGTCAATAATAGTGAAACGTTTTTTCAGGTGAATTGCGAAACAACCTTAGGGTGTTGATCAAAAACAAAATGAAACTGCCTGTGAGTGTGCGCCTTTTTTAAAAATATCATGACAAATAATAAATACAAAAATGGAACACTAAGCAAAATTTCTTGAGCATACCATATCTGATTTAAACACAGCATGCTGAAGGCATAATAATTATAAGAAACTCATGGAGTATTTCATAAAAAAAATTAATATTATTGTTGTAAAACATTATTATATTCATTAAACTTAATATTACAATCATGAGAAGTCTTAAGTATTAATAAGAACCAAAAATAATATATTAAATTTAAAATAATAAATTAATAATAATATTAAAAGTATTTTGAGAAAGTTGTTTCTTGTTTCTTTTATATAGTTTTCGCCACTAATAAATGAATGAATGAATGAATGAAATGAATGAAATGAAATGATACTTGAATGAAATGATACTTTATTTCTCATCACAAACTAGCTTATGATAACAATTAGCTTACAGAAAAATATAAACAAGTTGGGCATGCTGGTTTGTGAGAGACTGGTGCCCGAGATAGGTTTATAAAAAACCTGTATTACAGGTCACCAGGCTTCCACTCCACAGATGTATAATATGTTTATGACATATTGATTATGATAAATAATACTATTAATACAATCTTTCAAGTTCAATGACACATTATCTCTCTTTTTTATCACTAGCGACAAAAAAGTCTGGTATAATAACTGTATGCGTTGTTTCTAAATTACTAATGAAAATCTAACGACAAAATCACTATTTTGTACATACAAATATGGTCCCTATGTCTATCTCTCAAGCTACTCTAATCTATGACTTATCAGATATGCAATACAACTAAAATAATCGTAAATATTATTCACGCCAAGTTAAAAACGATCGGAACACTTCAATTACCAAGGTAACTATCATAGTAAATAGTATCTCAAAGTAATGTGAGTGAACGGTGAAGTGGTAACTGGAAAATTACAAGCGGTTATTACAACGATTTTAGCTAGCAACAATGATTGTAAAGTACCTATTACCGACAATGAATAAGGTCAAAGTGAAATTCAGAATAGTTTTTGATCGATTTTTTTGTCACGTAAATAAATTCAAAACAACTGTTTTTTTTTTTCATTTCTATTAAATGAATCAATTTCGAGCGATTTCAAAATTTAAAGTAAACTTATTTACTTTTAATGTGTAATAGTTATTTGTTATGCAAGGCTGCAAAATTGTTGCTTAACGCGAGTGCTTGTATTGAAACCTGGGCAAGCATAGAATCCTAAGACTGAACCACGGCTAAAGCGAATAGAATAGAATCCTGAGTGTAGCGAGGGTTTCAACACACGAGATGCAAAACAATTTTGTTGCCGAGCGAAACTCACAAGTTTTCACCTTACTATAGCGAGGAAAATGGTATATGAAATAAAAACAATTGAACTATAACAAATAAATTTTAATAAACAAAATTAGTTATCGTTGTCAATTTAATGTCAACAATTAATTATAAGAACAAAATATACCAACGGAGTTATATTACATAAATAATGTACGACAAATCGCGTTGTTGAGCGTGTCATTATGTTTTTTTTTATTGAATGAAAATGTTAGTGCACCACAGTCCATCGGCAAGTTCGAATTTCAAGTACCTTTACCACACTAGCGTGCAAAAAACGCTTTTGCGCGCAGATTTCTAATGAGAAAGAAAGCTTTTCCGAGCTAGTGAGGTGAAAAATTAGTTATCGTTGTCAATTTAGTGTCAACAATTACAAGATTAAAATATTTTTTATATTACGTTACACACACTAACGGATTTATATTACTTCGATAATTTACGACAAATTGCGTAGTTGAATTACATTATGTTTCTTTTTTCGTCGAGAGAAAAATTTATTTGCACCACAGTCCCTCATCAAGTTCGAATTTCAAAAACCTTTCCCACGCCAGTGTGGAAAATTCGCTATCGTATACATTTGAATCGATTTTCATAAAAACCGAACCGTAATGTGCATACCTAGGAGTAAGTAAAGTCTACAAAGGGTTGCGGATTCGCTCTTGGCCTTTTGGAGGGAAAAGTGTCGCTTTTATTTTGACTTTGAATTATTTTGTGAAATCTAGTTTAAAGTGGAATAGGATAGTGCTATTGTGCCTTAATTGAAGATTAAAATGCGAAATTATATGAATCTCGAACTAAAATACCCGTATCGGTATGATTCCTTAGAACGGTCTAAGGAATCCCGAGTCAATCCAAGCACGCCGCCTCAAATTGCCTATCCTCTTTGTGGCGGCCTTATTTACAGAAACATAATCAAACGAAGAGATGGCTCAAAGGACTTGTATCCAAGCCAAAATTATTAATAATAAAAAAACAAAGGGTTGCAAGTTGGGTATTGCGCGGAGTTGCATCTTTTTTGTGTAGAAAAGATATTTTACATCAAAATTACTAACAAGTATGGAATATACCAAATTGCGTACTCGCCGTTGTTGCCCACGTTCATGTACCTGGCGCTTTGGGTAAAAATCCGGTTAAAACCCGGTCGGGATAATTGAGTTTTAACCCACTGCCCATCGCTGTTAACGAATATTTTGCTATTTGTAAAAGAAACTTTGGGGTACCCTTTTCCGATTGCTGTAAATATGCCTATAAGTATTCGTAATGAAATTACGTCTTTTGTAACATAATATAAACAGAGAAAGTTACTGCGTTACGATTGGCATAAAATTTTGCACGTCGACCGGCTTTCTTTGTTTTCATTTTATTTTATACTTTAAGCACGATTTTTATCTTGTACCAAAGAATTGTTTATCCTGTTTGTATAAATACAATATATATAAATATAATAATATGAATACTTGGGTTGTTCATTTGCAATAACAAATTGACGAATTGCAGTTAGATGTTAACTATCCGCCGCCCGGTGCTAGGTTAACGATAAGGTTTACAGATTCACACACGGGGAATATCTAAACAAACAAATTTAAAATGTCGAATTTAACCCAAAGGGTGTACAAAATCGTAAACTGCTCATAAAATGTGTTCTCGATTGACCGTTTATCTGACCTTATAAGTTAAAAACTTTCACTTAATAAAAATTGACACTTACCTGTAAAAAATGACATTAACTCCTCAGCCAATTGCGGTTCCACGTCCTTTATTTCCCAAGGGTAGTTATTATTTTGATTATCCATTGTGTACATATATTGTACTATTAATTTAAAGTTATTAACAGATAAGGCGAAAGTGGACACGCGCAGCTAGCGGCGCAAGCGCACCTATAGTGAGGAATAAACAGACGTAAACGCCTGTGCGTGAGTTTCTGCCCACCACCGTAAGTACTATATCAGTTAAACTTAACTTTTTGCTTATCACGTGTCTGACAATGTGTTGTTGCATATTTAACGGTGAATTGGGCACAGCACATACTATATTAACTTGGGAAGTTGTAGCAGTAGAGTTCCTTGTTTTTTAAACGGTATTAGGTAGATAACATCACATAATATGTACGTTGCTCCGATCCCAAAGTAGGTAACTAAAGCACTTGTGTTATTGGAAATCGGAAACAACGACGGTACCACATACACCTAGACCCGAGACGATATTGAAAAGATAAGGCCGGCGCAGACTACCGGACGGGAAGAGGACATCAATGTATATTTTATGCTATTTCGATTTGAAATAAGGTACAAATTGCGTTGCACTGAAACCGACCTCAGAGCATCGGCGCATTTCTCTCTCGTCTCAGAGCATAAAAATTTATAACTTATTATATGAATTGCAACGTGATACTATGGTAAGGGATCTGGGTGTGCTTCATGATAATAAGTTATTATTTGCTTCGCATGTCGACACTATTATTTCAAAAGCCTCCAAAGCTCTCGGATTTGTGATGCGTAACTCCAGGGATTTCAGGCAGGCTAAAACACTACAAATTTTATATTGTTCATTTGTCCGCAGCCACCTGGAATATGCATCGCAAGTCTGGAATCCCCAATACCTTACCTATATATCAAGAATTGAAAATGTACAAAAAAGATTTATTAAGCTTTTATGTTTTCGAACTGGGGAGCGATACGAGTCAAATCAGTATCTGAATATATGCAAGAAACATCATCTTTTGCCACTGGAGATGCGGCGTTAGATTGCTGATCTAGTGTTTTTGAAAAAAATTGCCGTGCCGTTGACTCCCCGGAACTCGTATCCAAGATTTCTCTTGGAGCCCCTGCAAAGACCCTTAGGTTTAATTCACCTCTGTGCGTACTTCTGGCCTCTTCAAACTTTCGGCGGAATGCATATCTCATGCGTGCGAGTAATAGTTTCAATGTATTGTCCAAGCAGGTTGATATTGACCTTTTTTTTAACACTAGTGTTGCATCGGTGAAGCGTCTTATTAGTGGTTTGTTTTTTGGTGAGTAGCTAATTGTTGTGTGTGCGATTATGTCACTACCTATATAGTATAATTATTAGTTATATAGTTATAATTTATAGCTCTTTAATTAACTTAATGTGTGTCTACCGGTGAGGACCTATAATTGGCTCTCCGTTTTTATTTAAGTTTATGTTATGTAAGATAGCCGTTGGTCTTCCTAAAATTAAATAATAATAATAATAATAATAATAACAGTAATAGTATACAATATGCATTGATAAATTTAATGTCATCTTCATTTAATGGCCCTTAGTTTTCTACACATTGACCCAGCCGGGGTTCGAACCCGAGACGCTTCGACACTGCGCCAGTGTGAGTTGAGCCTTAGGGTGCTGGTGAAATTACAAGCACATGAGACTTTTCAACTTATATCTCAGGGTGACGGGCGCAGTGGCAGTGCCCTTTGAGCGGCACTGCAATTGTTATGGACAGGCGTGACGCTTACCACCAGGCGCACGAGTTGTTCGTCCTGTCACTTAGCGTCATTAAAAAACCTTAGAGAATGTGCAGGTGAATTTAAAGCTTCAAAATATATACAAGCATATCTTCCGTTGTGCATTTGGAAAAACAAATTACCTTAATTAATTATATTAATTATTATTTTATAATAATATTTGTCATCATCATTGACCCATTTATATGTCCTAATGCTGGACACGTGTCTCTTTTCAGGCGAGGATTTGTTAATGCGGGTCGGGGACTTCACACGGTTTCCGAGAGTTGTGAATCTTTTTCGACGTCCATTACGATGTTTTTCTTCACCGACAAGCTTGTAGTAAATTTCAAAATAAAAGCATATAAATTCTGAGAAACTCACATATGCGATCCGGATTCGAACCCACCGCCTCTGCTTGAGAGACGGTAGGTCAAACCATTAGGCTACCACGGTTTTTGTAATATAACATGTACACGGCTTTAAATAACATATCCATGCCATATTATTAGTACTTTTTATGATCTCTAGCTTTAGGAATACATCTAAGCTTTCGTTTAATAGGTATTGGTTAAACATTCAGTCATATTTTCCATATATTTTTTTAGTTTTTTTTTTTGAGTTGCGTCCTTGTTTATGAGTGCTTAACGGTAATAACTCGACTTATGTAATATTCGACTTTTCCCTTAACTGCGACTGTTCTATGGTTACAACTATACTTATGATACAAACCACATTGATAAAATACCTTATTAAGACCTTGATAAGATCGTTAAAGCAATAAAACGACAAGTTTTCTGTTGCAAACTGTTAACCAATAGCAACACGGTATAGTCGCGGGTATGACCTATCCTGTCCAATGGAACAAACGGAATGCACAGTTATACCTTTATGTATACTGTGGAATAAGCCAATAATCGCTTTTAGTCCTTCTGTTTTCCCAGTCATTATGGAACAATACGAAAAATGTCTTTATGTAAAAATACACATACCTGTACTTTTCCGTTAAACTTGCATGTATTTTTTTGAGTTGAGAGCACTTCACTTGTACTTTTACACTCATAAAATATGCCAGATAACTAAAACTATGCCTTTAAAAACAGTCAGTTATGCCCTTGGTGCAATAAGAAAAACGAAGTTAGGAGACTGCTAGAGAGAAGTCCTATTTTGATGTTATGTAATCGGACACGCTGAAGTCAATGGTGCAATAAAAACGAAAGGTCATAAATCCTCGTATTCCGTTGTACACTGGAGGCACTGATATTTACTTTATTCAATACATTATGCATCCGTCCTCCAAGCATTGTATAGCTCACTGAGGGTCGTGACTCCCCCGCGGAAACAAGCTCCGCATGACAACGATTTGCCATCTGTGGCGGTCTTTGACGTAATGGAGCGCATCATGGAGACCCTTGCCGAGAGCCGCCGAAACTCGGTCGGACCATCTTGTGGGACAGCAACCCCTCGGACTTTTAGACCCTTAGATTATAGACCCTTCTTTCCTGACAGTGTGACCAAAGAAATCAAGTATTCTACGTAGACATAAGGTGGACAGTCTGGTCTGGACGTTAAATTCCCGCAAAATTTAGTCGTTCGGTGCGAACTCCTAACATTTTCCTCCAGCATTAAATATTATACATTAAATAGTAATATTATATATAATATAGTAGCTATTAAATAAAACATGTGTGTCTATTACAAATTCAAATGGCTTTCATTGATTCCGCATAACAGTGAAAGTGTTGAAACTATCACTTTGGAAAAAATATATAGTAAAATTGAAAATATATTGATAAGTGACATGGAGTGAAAAACGATTACTAAAAATTTTCACGATATAAAAAATACAAACTTCCCTGGAAATGTTACAAGCAAAACCGCAGTATTCAATAGGTACTTTACATATACCAATGATTTTTTTATATCAACTGAACCAAACAGAACATACGAATATACATTTTTCAAATGACTTTAATTTCGCTTGTAAAAAAATATTTTCCGAAAAAACCAGTTTCCCTGACGCGGCGTGAAAATTTTCCTTGGTAAAGCCGAAGCTTTAACTTTTTAAGAAACAAAAAACGCTTTGGAAATGAAACTATTTTTCCGGATTTAAATCGCGTATATTTGTTTTTTCAAACAAACCGACGTTTCGGGCCCTTTACAGGTCCCATGGTCACGGTTGACTGTGGTGGTTCAGTCTTCAACCAATTATGTCTAATATTGACATTTGCAAACCACCCTATTTTTTCACTATAGTTACAGTAGTTATTAATTAAATACCTTATTTTTAATTTTAAAAAGAAAACATTCCAATTTACGCTACATTCAGTTTTACAAATTATTTTATTGAATGAATTTTTATTAAGTTCTATTTATGATTAATTATTAATAGAAATTAGAATAAACTAAAACTTATTAATTAGTACTGCAGTCTTATGTCCTGTTATTATTTTCCCGTTAAAAAGGCGCCTTGGCGACACTTAAATGCTACACTTGTTAGCATACAAGATACTAGTTCACTTCATTTCACTGGTTAACTTATTCTGCACATAAAATAACTATAGTTTTAAAGTAATTTACTACATTTTATGCAGCCGGTTTCGATACGAAAATTTATTAGTAAACAAACTCATGAATCCTAAGTGTTGCTATTTCAATTACCTACGAATTACCATGACCTTCTACATACTTTCTTTACGTAGCCCTATATATGTCTATATCTATTTGGGTGTTTCTTTTTAACCGACTTGTAAAAAAGGAGGAGGTTCTCAATTCGACTATGTTTTTTTTGTATATTTGTTACGCGATAACTCCGGTATTTGTGAACCGATTTTCATGATTCTTTTTTGTTGGAAAGAGGGTACCTCCATAGTAGTCCCATTTAAAGAATTTTTTTTAATTATATAAAAAAAATTTTGAAGAAAATCGTCTACCTCTAAATTTTATTATACGAAGCAATTATTCTAATGGTTGATTTTGCTATTCTTCAATTCAAGGCGTTTTTTTCTCTCAACATACTTTGAGTAGTGAGAACCGATTTTCATTATCTCCTATGTTAAGTCCCGTATTGTGGCGAATTAGGGGATGAATCCGGGTTTGCGCACTTTCCGAGAACCGATTTCAATAAAACATGGTAATTATATGTAATTCCACGTACTTTTGAGGTCGGTTTTTTTAGTACTCTGTACTGAGATTATTAATAATTAAATATGTATGTAACACTATTTATCGTTAAGATTTACAAAATAGAAGTTAACCATATTTTGTATTAATCTGCTATTATAATAATTTTGTTACCCTATTTTAAGAAAGTTTTACATCTGTCAACGACAGTCAATTCTGACATTTTAGCAAATTAAACAGTAACGTGTTGGAATAAGGTTTAAATTTACGTGAATGCTATTCGACTAGAAGCTGCTTAATTCCGGCTTCTCGGCCGCCATTTCTTGAAATTTTTTATGGCTGATTTTTGCCAATGTGTGCGTGTGTGAAATGAACATGAATGAAATAGAACTCGCATATCCACCGGCTTACCTCGCGCTTGTTGGTTGCGATGCATTGGGACAAGTTATTACGCGTTTAATAGTGAATATGTTTTTTAAGTGGTGGGCTATGCGCACTGTTTAGTACAATATTTTGGGAATACGCAGAAAATTGTAGGCAAGCCGACGGGAATCGTGTTATAAAGACGCCTCGCCACTGCTGGCGCTCGACCCAAGCAAAATGAACCGTATTAGTACGGGAAAAAAATTAATTCAAGCTGAGGTATCGATCGACTCTTAATGCTTCTATAAAGTTCGCTTCAGTCGTTTCTGTTTTTATTATTTTTGGGAATCCATACTTCCATTCTATCCATACTTCCATACTTCATACTATCCATACTTCCATACCAATATTATACATGCGAAAGCACTCCGTCTGTTACATTTTTACGCCTAAACCGCTAAATCAATATTGATGAATTTTGGTATAGAGATAGACGTGAAATAAGAGGACATGGGCTACTCTTGTCATAAAACAAAATCTTAAAGGGGGTGAAATAGGGGACGAAAGTTTGTACGGACAATCAATAAAACTATGAAAATTAGATAGGACAGTAGGGTACTCGAAGCACTTAACTCTACGCAGACAAAGTCGCGGGCACCAGCAAATTTGTTATACATTTTAAATGACATAACAATCGGAAGGAATATTTAGATGGGTTTCCGGCTTGTAGTTTTTTTTTTCCGGACAAGCTTACTTCGCAGCCTTAGTGTAATAAGGCTACATCTGCAAAACGATAAATTGTCAGGAGTGTTGTGGAGTGTTGTTTAAAGATTCTACGAACGAAATTACCTAATTACTCGATAATTTTTTTTTATTTTTTTTTTACACTATTTCAATCGAATATGCTTCAATAATAACCTTCTCCAAAGGGAAAAAAAAACAAATTCCCTAGTTGTAGGATATTAACTCTTTTTTATTTATTTTTTATTATTTCTTTTTAGTTTTGTAGCATCACATGAATACCTACTTAGTACTGAATAACTTTATTATGGCCAAATGGCGATTTACTTAATGTAGATAACTCCTACTCAATATTCAATACTTTATTGCACACCACATGGTGTGCTGAAGAAGACTAATAATCTCTTTATTAACTATCAATTTCATTAAAAAAAGTCCAGTTTACATCGTTGGATATCGTAGGTCAGTGTCCCGCAGGTTGTCAGCGATCCAGCGTTCGGCCTGCGCCGTCATCTCCTCATCAAAATAGTCGCGCCATCCACCAACCTTACCTGAAATAGTGTTCCAAATAAGATGCATTTGTTTTCTGTTGGGCCTCACCGCACTGCAGTTACACCAAACTTCCGTTCTTTGACACTCATGCATACCCGTATGCACGGATTACCTCTTCTAATAAAAGGCTCTTCTTTTTCATCCGCGAATTTGACAGCTTTGAATACATCTTCGTTGACGGATGCGTTTATCTTAAAATTGTCAATATGAAGATGTTCACAAAGCTTCGCAATTTGGTCCTCGGAGTACTGCTTCCCGAGAAATTGACATACTCTCCGTATTGTAGCCGGCAAATCCTGGTAAAGACAAATAAATAACCGATTTGCAGCTGTATATTGATAATTACGGATGATACAAGGTGTAATATGATCGTCCTAAGTGAGAATGATATAAAATTGAACTATTGCGCTCCCGAAACGAATCGTGCTTTAGAACGGTGCTTGAAATATTATTAAGTAGAAAATATAAATTACTAAAAGGAACGTTCCTTTAATAAAATTGAGAAGCCAACCACCAATAAAAAGAAGAGTAGATATATTGGAAAAAACAGTTTTACCTACCTTTGAAAGTTCTTCATAGAAAAGGAACAACATATTTGGATGATTTCTATTCGCCCAGGCTTCTTTAATCACCTCAAAATACGGTGTAAAGTGCACTGTACAAAAATAATATTAGTTGTTTAATATACGTTAATTTTTGGTTTTATACGTCGGACTTCCATTCACTCGACTTATCTACTTTGCCTGAACTTGGAATCAGGCAAAAAGCAACAAAATGTGCCTAATAAAGGTGTTTGGTAAATCGATACTGCAATAGGAAATGAATAATTTAGTAGCAGTAGACCTCTTTGTGAAAGAGTTCGTCCAGGGCAGTACTGCCACCTTACCTGTCTCTGCCTTAGCGTTACTGCTTGGCGGCGGCAGGAAGGGTGCTGTTGAAATTACAAGCACATGGGGGCTTGTCAACTTATGCCTCTAACTTTGCGATTTAAAGCTCTGAGTGGCACTGCAAATGTCATGGACATGTGTGTCCACCAGGCTCACACCTTGTTCGTCCTATTACTTAGTCCTATAAACAAAATAAATAGATTACATAACTATACATACTTACCTAGTCCCTTTATGAAATAATTCCAAAAAGTTTTAAGATCCCCGCTGTACCCGATAAGTTTAAAAAGTCGGCATAAGTGATAAAACGAGACGGCGACATCTCTGGGGTCTCTTGCCACGAACACCACTTTGCAGGTATCCAAGAGCGAAGGAGGCAGCAGTGAAATAGGCATATGCGATTTGAAAAAGCGAGGAGAGGGTAATTTAGTAAAGTCTGCGTAATGCGGTTTACACATTTCTTTGGACTCTTCAACCATTTGCTTATCATGCTTATATTCTTTTACATGGCGTTTTATCGATTCATGACTCACTATCGTGGAGAACCTGCGTGAACAATCAAAATTAACTATGAAAATACGGATCTGTAGTCTCTCATCGGACGAAGTAAGTACTTCGCAAAATTTGGGGATGAAGAGGCACAATTTTAGTAGGTATGCAGATGGCATGAGAGCTACAGTTTGGAATGCAATTTTGAAAAAGACCGGAATAGAGGTTTCGAATATGGATGCGCCAAAGAGGTTAGAATTGCTTTCGTTGGTTAGTTTTGTGATTGAGGGGTGGATTGAAACAGAATATATGTATAGTTTGCATTGATTGGTATTTAATTCGAGAGCAATATATTGGTTCGAAGATGGTGTGTTCGAGGTCTCCTGTTTCAAACGTCATAGCACCAAATAACAAAATTTGAATTAAGATTTGGTTCACGGATGCTGAGGCTGAGGTTTATTCGACTAGTATCTTATCTATATGTATATAATATATAATATCTTAATTATAACTTACTCTAGATAAGGAAATCTCTCTATTAAGACATTCTCCTTTGCCTTAGCGTAATCCAAATCATTTGCTACCAGCCACACCAACTCCTGTGTCCATGTTGTTCCTAAAAATAGAAAAAAAATGTATCTATTGTTGCGATCAATTATCATATAGATTCAATATCAGCACATAACTGTTTTGGCTCGCCAGAAAGTACCTGTTTATGTATATTGTGACCTTAGTTACACAAACACAATTAAATATTTAGGCATCACAATAGATAGATATTAGAACTTCAAGGCCCATATTGAAACTCTTAAGGCTAGAGTACGAAAATGAATTTATATTTTCAAAAATGTAAGACATGTCGCCAGTGGAAGGTGGCTGAATTTTTTAAAATATAATATCAAGTGACGGAACGAACAAATCATGCGCCTGATGGTAAGCTACACGCCTATCCATAACAGTTGCAGTGTTACTCAGAGCTTTAAATCGCAAAAATCTGAGGGGCACTGCCACTGCGTCCGTCACCCTGAGTCATACAAGTCCCATGTGCCTGTAATTTCAGCGGCACCCTTACTCTTCAAAACCGGAACACAGTAATGTTGTCATTACTGCTTGGTGGCTGAAATAGGTAAGGTGGCAGTACTTCACTGGACGAACTCTTTCACAAGGAGCTACTGCTACTAAATGATACTGCGTATTTGTCGCTTTATCAGTCGTTGTTTGGGTACCGCATAACGACTCGGGGAGGCATTCATCAGTGGCGAAGCGTGAAAATTGTCGTTAGTAAGGCCGAAACAAAACAAAAATCATTTTCCTTAAGAAAAAATGGCGCCTTGGCGAAATTTAAACACAATTTATTAGCACACAAGGTCATTTCACTAGTTAACTTATTCTACACATAAAATATAGCACAAAATGTACTATTTGATAATACGTGGTCAATTTTAGGCAAGTCGGTGAAAGTCAAAGTCAAAGATTATTTATTCAATACATTTGTAAGTCAATGATTCCATAGGTAAAATAAATATACACTTGAAAACGTCACATCTAAGCTACTGCTCGTTCACTACGCTGACCTCACTGAGAAAAACGAGCAAGAAACTCTAGGGATTGCTCTTTTCAAATAAATTTAAATGCTATGGAATACACTTCGAATCAAATTTGTGTGGATTCTGGAGCCGTGGCATCTTTCCGTACATCTTTATCTAAGACGTAGTCTTCAATTTTGTAATATGCTTTTTCTATCAAAATATTTTTAATGTAGTTTTTAAACTTAGGAAATGATAAACTTAATATATATGCTCCGGAATGTTCTTGTAAAAACGCATACAGTTCCCCATAAAAGAGTTGTTTACCTGGGTAACGAAATCGTGCTACCATGAGTTTGGACTTTGCTCTAAGGTTAATATTATGGATATCTTCTTTCTTATTGAAATTATGTATATTTTTACGGGCATATAAAATATTTGAGTAAATGTACTGTGATACCACAGTCATGATACCAGTCTCCTTAAACTTTTCTCTGAGAGAAACCCGAGAGCCTATTCAGCAGATCATTAATATAAATTAAAAATAAGAAAGGTCCAAGTATTGAGCCCTGCAATATAAATATGATTTGAATATCTGCCGTTTTACCCCACATGAGAATCCCGTAGGACATTATACTATGGAAGTAACTAAAGTAAACTAGTCTAGCAATACTAACATCGGTAAGCTCACGTAGTCTGTGGACTGCATATGCAGCGGAATTTAATCTGCTGGCCAGGGAAGATATATGTGGAAACCATTGAAGTTTACTATCTAAGGTCACTCCCAAGAAGACTGCTTTATTAACAAGGTCTAACTTTTCTCCGTTTATTTCTATGCTTGGACTAATCTAGTCTTGGACTAGTTTTACGTTAGGTAATTAAAATGTAACACATTTTGTCTTCTTGGCATTAAGCAATAAATTGTTAGCATTACACCAATAAACTACCTTAGAGAGGGTATCATTAATATGGTCGTAGTTAATGTCATGTCTGTCTGTTTTAAAATCAAGGATGTGTCATCAGCAAACAACACTATTTCGCAATGGTCCTTAACAAAGAATGGCAGATCATTAATATAAATTAGAAATAAGAAAGGTCCAACTATTGAGCCCGGCGGAACACCCATTTCTACCGGAGAACCCAAAGAAGTCACTCCATTTATGTCATGATGTCTACTTTCTGAATTCTACCGTTGAGATATGACAAGTTTCGACGGCTTGCTATTTACACCGTAATGTTCCAGCTTCCTAATAAGAGTAATATGATCAACGCAATGAAATGCCTTTGAGAGGTCACAGAAAACACCAATAGCGATCTGGAACCTTTCCCAAGCATCAATCATCAAGAAACTGTAACCAAAAAGCATTCACTAACGCCCTATATCCCCTCACTCCAAACCATCAAAAGACGAGCAGACATTGTTTTTTTCCACTGAAAGGTTTCGGACTACACACTTAAGTAGATTCTTTCTTTCTTGGTAGCTTTTTGCATAATAAAATAAATTGTTCACTGTGTAGATATATGTCCTATGAATAAGTTTCAATGTAAGAAAACCGTACAAAACTGGTTAAAAGGATTTTAAACTACAGTGACACTGAACATTATCTGTTGTTACGTAATATTAATATAGTTAAGATGCTAGCTAATGTATTTAATCATGTTTTATTGTAATTTATGGTTAATTAACAAAATATGTTGACTAATTATTGTGCTATAATCACCAATTTGGATACCTAAGATACAAGTAAACAACTTTCCTTAGTTCAGGTATCACCTAGATTAACTTGCACTATTAACCTTAAATAAAGTTATGTAAATATATATATACAATAATTTCACTGTTTGCCATAATCTGGCGCATATGTGTATATACAAGGTTATTTAATAAGATTCATGTATTTAGGTTATATTTTATAAAGAATAATTTTATCTTTATCTTTATCACGTGGCATACACTGTGTCATAATTATGTGTATTTCATACAGAAAATTCTGAAATAAACCTTGCGATGATAATAAAATTATCTTTGTCTACGGCTTCGACTTTATAAATTTGTACTCACCTGACCTTGGATAGGTGATCACAAACGTATCATCTGGTCGCAATTGAAAGTTGTAAATATTAGCTGCCTCTTCTTCATACCTTTTGGGGAAAAAGTAACCCTTTGGCCCAACTTGAAGAAAACCTGTATATTCTCCTGAAAAATATCTTACGGTCAGCTCACATCCTAATATCGTAAGAGTATCCACGATGGTTGGAGTCTGTACTGTTCTTTCGTATGTGAACTCTCAGTGCTTGAGAGATTAACCGTATTAAGTAACTTTTGATACGTGGCGACCAAAAGAAACCCTCCAAAGCAGAATCCAGGACAATTTCATTTTTAAACCAAAATTAAAAAAAACACCTATGTCATCCTTGTTATAATTATTAATACACAGATCGAACACTCAGAAAAAATGCGGACGGACAACCGGATTCGAACCGACGTCTTCTAGCATACCGTGCCAGACGCTGTACCAACTAAACCACGGAACGAACCAGCGGAACTCACGAATTTTTCTATGTGCTTGTGTCGTTGCGTCATCTATGACAAATCTATGAAAGTTTTATCACCCAGTTCACCTATGCAGCTACCAGCCCTGGCGAGAGATGTCGCCTTTCACTGTATTTTAAATTTTGATTGAATTGATATTTAACTATATCATCCTTATTTTTAAGAATTTTGGATGGAACAATGATCTTATCTTATAGATACCTGTAAAATTTTTCATGAGCTCTTCAGACGTTTCTCGATCCACGTCTTTGATTTCGTAAGGAAAATTTTTTAATTTGCGCGCACTCATTTTTTACGATTGATAGGTACTATCAATTCAGACAACTGTTATGAACAATTTTCTTAGTCGGTTTTTACATCGTATACCTATGTGTAATGTTATCATATCGACTTACTATCAATAAGATTGCTTTTGTAGCTACAGATTGCGTTCTAAAATTTGTTTTAAGAGATACTTACTTACAGAAATACTTTGTGCAATTGAAGAAAGGCAGAACAGCTAAACTAAAAAC